GGCAAAGAAGATCTCAGAATGGGTCAATGGACGATTTTTGCTCCTGCTGCTTCCCCTAGAGTTTTGTACCACCTTCTTTGACCGCTACATTTNGTTCCTCTTGAAGTGCAGCTGACTCTTGGACCTCGTGCTCTGCCAAAGAGGCAAAGAAGATCTCAGAATGGGTCAATGGACGACTTTTGCTCCTGCTGCTTCCCCTAGAGTTTTGTACCACCTTCTTTGACCGCTACATTTGACGTTTAACCGCCGGTGCTCGAGCAAGAGGAGAATCACCCTTCAATTGGAAGGCAAGATTAAATTGCTGCTCGAGTAAACAGGGTTCCTCACTCTTTTGCTTTTTACTTGATCCCGAGTACTCACCGTTCCCCTCCTCAAAGTGAGCTTTTCTCTCTATTGCTAGCTCTTGGAACTTCCTTTATAACCTCTCCGCTGCAATGATGACATCAACCCCCAATTTGAGTAATTGTGTCCAAATCCCCCCACCCTCATTTGATTGGGCTGCTATCCCACTTTATATCTTTATATTTGTCTGGGCTTTCAGTTGGTTTTGTGACAAAAAAGTTGTTGACTCCTACATCTCTTATTGCCACCTAACCTTCATCTGTATTGATTACTTCATGCGGCCCAGGAACTTGTGGGCTTAGTCAATCACCTTTTTTATTATTTAATTAGGGCCCAAAATTTTGGAGGACAATTAAGCCCAATCCCCCCTCCTCTCCTAGTTTAGCAATACTCGCACCATTGTGCTTGGAAAGATCTTCATGTGGCTATAAAAACTCTGTTTTTCCACGTGGTAGCACCGTCTCTATTTGTACTCTATCAGCATTGTGCCATATCCTGACTTCCTGCAAGAGTGTTAGCGCCCATGTCATCTCTGTCACGCAACCCCCATACTAGTGGAATTACCTCACGCGTCGATGACCCCTCAGTAACTCTGGCTACCGTCTTCTGTTGAACCATCATCTTCTGTTTCTCTTTTGTTTGATGATCAAGTTGAGACCAATGTTCTCTATAGAAACAAGTATGACTGGGTTGGGCTCGCAATGCTGGACCAAAGATACTTTGAGTGCCCGGCTTCCTCCAACTACATTGGTTTTGTGTATGACCTATCCTCCCACAGACATAGCAGAAATCAGATAAACGCTCATACTTGAAACTTATCCACAAATCGTCCTGGTTCTCTTAGGCTAGAAAGAAACCTTTCTTTAAAGGTTCATTGAGCTCCATTTCACACTGGACTCTCAAGAAATTTCTGTGCAGCAGAAGTTCACCACCTGCCTCATCCACACGGATAGGTGCCCCGATCATCTTGCCTATATTCCAAGAATTACTCTTAGTCATCATTTCNTTCATTGAGCTCCATTTCACACTGGACTCTCAAGAAATTTCTGTGCAGCAGAAGTTCACCACCTGCCTCATCCACACAGATAGGTGCCCCGATCATCTTGCCTATATTCCAAGAATTACTCTTAGTCATCATTTCCATTTCCAAGCCCCAAATCTGAATCCAAAACTTAGTTTTGTAAAAATTGTAGTCGCTTAAAGAACAATGTGGGACACATTTCTTCAAAACGAGCAAAGCTCCCATTATTGACCATGAGCCCTCACCATTGATTTTATCTCTGTCCTCCTGATTCTTGAACATGAACATGTAGGAATTCTTTTCCCAAAAAGTGATGGAGAAACCCTTTACCGTTTTTCACGCGCTTTGAAGAACGGTAGATACTCCTTGCTCGTTAAGGGCTGCTTTNTAATGTGGGACACATTTCTTCAAAACAAGCAAAGCTCCCATTATTGACCATGAGCCCTCACCATAGATTTTATCTCTGTCCTCCTGATTCTTAAACATGAACATGTAGGAATTCTTTTCCCAAAAAATGATGGAGAAACCCTTTATCGTTTTTCACGCGCTTTGAAGAACGGTAGATACTCCTTGCTCGTTAAGGGCTGCTTTTGATAAAATCTTCCCCACCATACAGACTACAGACTTGTTGAACATCCTCCGAGATAGAATGATGTGAAGGAAGGGTGATACGGGGATGGGTTTGAATTTGAGAATCAAATTCTGTGTCATTCGGCATAGGTGATAATATGGATGGGAATAAACTAGAACTAGCCAAGGGGAATAAGAGAGACAAAAGGGACAAGGAGGAAAAAGCGTCAGGGACATAAAAACCACAAACCAGATAGAGGGAAAAAATAGTACAAACCAGGATATGAGAAAGTGCGATGGGGGGAGAAAGAAATTAAAACAGACCTGGAAAGGAAAGACCCAGAAAAACGGGAATCTTAAAAAAAATTCCTTGCACTCCACCCAACCTGAAACATCAAAATTGCGCCAGCCAGAGGAAAAACCCCAAAACCTATAATGAAACATAAAAGGATCGAAACCTTCTAATATACCTTTGGGGTAGAAACCCTCATTTTGACCACTGAAACAGAGAAAGAGCAAAGGAAAGACCCCGATTAACACGAAGGAAGGAAAAATAGACCAAGCAGCCAAATGCAATGAGATATTAGAGGAAACCCTAATAGATAGGGGAAGTTCACTTTTTCTTAATGCAATTTTGGGGTAAGTTGAAGAGGGATGGTAATGAAAGATAGCTCAAACTTAATTCTATAGAATTGGCCTTTCATTAAACTCTACTCAGAGTTTCACTCTTCTCCCCTTTGAACTTTTTTCTTGTGATAAAAAAAAGAGATGCAATAGGTAAAAATATAAAAACTATAAGTTATAAAAAGGTTATATATTTTATTTTCTATCATTTGAAATGAGAGAGAAAGAAAGTGACGAGAAGAGGAAAAAAAAAAAAAAAGAGAAAAACTAAAAAAATAAAGAGCAATGTTATTGAGACTTAATTTATTGATTTAATTTGTTGATATAATTTACTATGATCTTTGAATTGATTGTGGGGTTCATTAAACATTAGAAGTTAGTGTTGATCCAATATTTTTATTGAAACCACATCATTATGTCAATAAATTAGGTCAAATTTTTAGGTTTAAATAATATTACTCAAAAATAACTAATCTCTTTTGGTTTGTTGGGTGAAAAAGTATGAAGAATATCACCATTTTTCATATATATTTTTTCCTTTATCCATAGACCATAATAACCCATCATAATCTAAAAAAAGACATATAGTCCCAACTAAAGGGAGGTTTGTTAACGGATCAAGTTTTAATGAAATTTTGATCGAACCTGAACTCAATTTCAAATGTTCAATATGAGTATTCAACGTATTTTATTTGGGAGAATTACGCCCAAATTCTCTGAGGTTTGTCACTTAATCACTTAGACCCTCTGATATTTGAAATATTACACACAGACCCACTAAGGTTTGTACGCACGTAACACTTAGACTCCTGTTGTAAATATATCTGTTAATAAATTACACCTAGACCCCGTTGAAATTTGTACGCATTTAATACTTAAACTTTTTAAATTTAAAATGTTATATTTAGATAAAAAAATACTACAATCAAAGATAGAATATCAAATATTTTAAATTTTGCAATTAAAATCCATGCTCCATTGTATCATTTATTGAAATAAAATTAAAAATAAAAATTTAACTTTTTCTTAAAAAATTGTAATTAGTATGCAATTATACTATCTATTGGAATAAAACTAAAAAAATAAACAAGGGGTCTAAGTTATTCTTAATAGAACATAAATTTTACAACCAAATTCATGTTCTATTATATCATTAATTTAAATAAAATTAAAAAAAAAATCTGATTTTTTTTTTTAAAAAGCATAGTTAGTATACACATATAATATATATTAGAATAAAACTAAAAAATTAAATAAGGGATTGTAATGAACACAATATCTTTTAGTTTCGATTAAAATAGTTTGATATTTTAATTTGGTTGTTTAAATGACCAAATTAAATTCCAATAGACAATATAATCGTATATTAATTACGATTTTTTTAAGAAAATTTTGAATTTTAAAATTTTATTTTATTTCAATAAATGATACAACAGAAGATGAATTTTAATTGTAAAAAAAAATATTTAGTATTCTATATTTGATTGAAGTGTTTTTGATCAAAATATAATATTTTAAATTTAAAGGGTCTAAGTAATATGTGTTTACAAACTTCAAGGAGTCTGAATGTAATTTATTAATATATATATTTACAGTATGGGTGTAAGTGTTATGCATGTACAAACTTTAAGGGATTTAAATATAATACTTCAAATGTCAGGAGGTATGAGTGATTAAATAACAAATCTTAGGGGGTGTGAGTGTAATTCTCCCAATTTATTTTTGTGGTTCATGTTCAAACCATTAGTAATTTGAAATTCACTTCGAAAAATAACTTAATTAACTAATTTCAACAAATTATACCTAAATTTTTTTAAATAATTACTTAATATTTATATATACATATAAAAATAATTCGGATCTGATATCTTATATTTTTTCATAAATTAGATTCGAATATACTTATATCATAATCATAAATCAATTAATACCCGACTAATCGAATTAGAATCCCGATCCGAATCCATATCCGACCCGATATGTGAAAAAAATGTCAGACATCAAATTCATTTTTAAGTTCAAAGTATCGATAAAATAATATCAATTAATATCCGGTTAATCAAATTTAAATTCAGATCCGATTCAAATCACCATTCGAATCTAATGACAGACCNAAGACATCAAATTCATTTTTAAGTTCAAAGTATCGATAAAAAAATATCAATTAATATCCGGCTAATCAAATTTAAATTCAGATCCGATTCAAATCACCATTCGAATCTAATGACAGACCTGGCTAAATGTAATGTCAGGCCCAAAATATGTGCCCGAAAACCTCTAAAGGCCCAGAATCCAATGAGCTACTGTCACCATTCTCGTGGCCCAATCCCGCTGTTACTGAACTCGCAAGAAAAGTAATAAAATTTCAACAAAACCCTCGGTCTTTAAATTACTAAACTCTCCCTGCAAATGCCTACGCGTTCGCTTCCCTTTGGCCAACTCTTCAACCCTAGTCTTCAACACAAGAGGGGTTTATGCTTGCTATGGCGCCAGACCTTAAACCCTTGTCTGAACTTCGCTGCCTAACTCTGCGTTTCAATGTCCTCATGACCTCCTCCAATTCTATTCCTTCATAGGTAAATCTCACAAAAATGGCTGCTTCAAGGCTATCTTCGTTGGCGGCCATGGCCACTGCGGCTGCGTCTTACTCCACGCTCTCCAATCACGCGTATGCCGACGGTCCGTTCCGCTTTTATCCCTTCTCTTCATCTCCGTCCTCGACTCAACCTCAGACGCCGGATAATGACTCTTCTAATTCAGAGTCCAAATCTTCCGTCGAAGAATCGAGAGGCGGTTTCGATCCCGAATCGTTGGAACGAGGTGCGAAAGCTCTCAGAGAAATTAATAGCTCTCCTAATGCCAAACAGGTGAATTTATTTTCCTAGCCATTTTCATTATTACTTTCTGAGTTCGAGGGACTATTGCTGTAGAATTTAATAGAATATTTCTATCGAAAGAATTACTTGCGATTTTCAAGTTTAATTGAATTCTCAGGTATTTGAAGTCATGAGAAAGCAGGAACAGAATCGGCTTGCGGAATTGGCAGCGGAGAAAGCTCATTTTGAAGCCCTTCAGTCCCAAGCTGATATTGTGAGTGATTATTGATATATTATTTCAGTTGCATTATGGTATGTACTACTACTATGGCTTTTGTGCAAATTACTTATTAAATGGACCACTTGTTTATGTATCTTCTAGTTGTAAAAGCTGCCAAGATCCTTGCTGTTGTCAAGCTGTACAAATGGTATTGAAACCCTAAAGGAATGCTGTCTTTACCGCAACTCATAATTATCTGCATTTCTTTTGATTCTAAGTGATTGAGCAGTGACAGTATGTACACAAATATTAAAAAGTGAAGAAATATTATTTCCAACTATGCACCAAATCAAAATATTAAAAAATCTATTTACAGAATTAGGAGCAAGTTTAACACTACATGCCAAATGTTACAATGTTCACTGGTAAATTTGAAAGAAAAGTAATTAACTAATTAAAAATACCCGGTGGCCAATGTGCGAGAGTTGGTTCCTCCCATGTTTGCCCACCTGTGCTGTGAGGTATTTCATTCCTTTTGTCTATGCTGTGTGCCCTTTTTTGGCTGTAGCCACAGCTTTTCAGCCCCTAAAGTTTTGTAATATAATATCATTTTCTCTAAAACACCAGAGCTGCAAGAATCAAGCTTTTGGGGTGTCACTTGGATTTTTTTTCTTAGAACATTACATTAGCAGAGTCTTGCAGCAGAAGTGTCAGGTGATATGTGGAATTTTGAGTGTGTTAATATGTGACATATTTGGAGCTGAACAACCTGCCAACAGCGATGGATTTCCGTTGATTCCATCCCTGCATTAACTGATTTATTTCATCATGAGAACTTATCACAGCCCAGACCTAATGGATTTTGTGAATTTGAATGGGTCATTGTTGACTCTAGGAAAAAGTGGTGGTGCTTATAGGTACTTACTACGTTTACTAATTCATTATTGCAAATTTTTTCAGTATTGGAATGCCTCCTCTTGTCAGGAGGAAAAGTTTGCATGCATAATTCAGCTATCATCTTTTGCATTCTAGTAATTGAAGAAATGTGGCTTTTCTTTACATTGTCCTCAGCCTGTGTTTATTCATTGATGGTGTTTTTTAGTTTTCTATTCTTGGTTTCTGTTTACTTCTTAAGATCACCTTTGCATATGCAGGACAAGCAGCGAAAATGGGGAGAAGACCAGAGGAATTTAGTACAACAACAAGCACAGACTAAAGCACAAATGCTGCGATATGAGGATGAATTGGCAAGGAAAAGAATGCAGGTGCAAAGAGCCTCTTTGTCCGATTTGTTTTTCCAAGTTATAGGATTTTTGAACTTGACCAGAATTCTAGGAAGATAATTTGTTAAAAGGGAAGAAAATGAAGAATTAGGATGAGCAAAAGAAAAAAGGGGGGGGTCACTGCATAATAATTCTAGAGCGCTGACTAGTGAAACCTTAGTGAGTGGAGTAACTCTGAAATGCCCCTGGTTCCTGGAAAAATGTATTCACATATTCTTTTTATTTAGTTGTTATTGTTGTTTGCAGACAGATCATGAAGCTCAGAGACGACATAATGCTGAATTGGCCAGGATGCAAGAGGAATCCTCCGTACGAAAAGAACAAGCACGACGAGCAACTGAAGAGCAGATCCAAGCTCAGCAACGGCAGACTGAGAAGGAGAGAGCTGAAATAGAACGTGAAACCATACGAGTAAAAGCCATGGCTGAGGCTGAAGGCCGCGCTCATGAAGCAAAACTGACTGAGGACCATAAACGGAGGATGCTTATAGAGCGGATGAATGGTGAAAGAGAGAAGTGGCTTGCCGCAATCAATACAACTTTTAGGCACATTGAAGGTATTTATCTGGAAGATGTATTTGTATCGGTATAATTCTGATTACAGGGCCTTCCAATATGTCATAGATTAAGTGGTTTCTGGTATAGAGATGTTGATCAAATTGTTATTTGGTTGATAGGCGTCAGTATAATACTGATCCATATATTTCACACATGCAAATGGGGTCTAAAGATCATATTATGCCTTGCCTCTTAACCAACTGCCGTGAAGATAATTGGCTGTAGGTCAACTTACTTATGATTGGTACATTTTTTCTTTAGGCAGCAGTATTGGCTTTTGCTATTAAAAAAGAATCAACCTTCAGACTGGTTCTTCTCAATCATTTTTAATGTGCAACATTGATTTAAAAAAAATGCTTCTAGTAGTTGGATATTCATATCTACTACACATCCCAAAGTTTCAAAATGGTTAGACAGTCCAGCCCTTGCAGGAGTACATTCTTTTCTGTGCAAAATATCTATTGTATTACTTGTGTGCTATTTGCTGAATGATATGTCATGTTCAGTTTTGTTTTATATTTCAATTTCTTAGCGCTGTCCGCGTCATATGAGGGGCGTATCTTGCTGATCTATGTTTCTCTCTTGCAATCTGCAGGGGGCCTTAGAGAATTATTGACTGATAGGAGTAAGTTGGTTATGACAGTTGGAGGAGTTACTGCCTTAGCTGCCGGGGTCTATACGACCAGGTCTCTGCTATTTTTCAATTGCATTTTGTTGATCTCGTTAAAGCAAACTTATCTCAGTATTTCTTAGATTTGGGCTGGTTTTCCACAGTCATTTGTATTTCTTGTTTGCACATGCTAATGTTATTGTAATTCAGATAATTTTTGTGTTACTGGAGCATCATTCATGATATGAATACCTTGCCTTATGCTTTAAATGCTGAGACAAACTCTTTGCAAGAGATCTCATCCTTTAATTCGGACTCCACTTGCACATGCCTGGACTTTTGTGAAACACAGCTGGAACATTTTTTCCCTTTATTTTGTAGAATACTAGTGGGACATGGGGCCTTATAAGGTGAACATAGGTATATGTGTCGGAAATATAGGGGGGCTAAATTTCTCGGTGATATATGGCTTCATTGCTCTAAACTAAAGCCTTTAAGTTGTCTACCCTGTATAGGAATACTATTTCAACTGATACCGAGTTGTGCATCCCATTTCTTACATTCTGGCAGGTTAGACATGCTTTGATCTTCAGCATGCAGAATGAAAATAAGTTTCTTTCCTGGGTTCCTGGCTCATGTCAGAACCTTTAAGTCGTGTACCCTGTATTGCAATATTATTTCAACTGATATCTAGTTGATCATCCATGTCTTATGTTTAGCCAGGCTAGACTTGATTTTGATCTTTCAACATGCAGAATGAAAATAAGTTTCTTCCCTAGGTTCACATGTTTAGAAACTGAATAGGCAGATAAGCACAAGTTTTGTGAAAATTGATTGTGTGCATGCCTGAGGATGCCAGCTAATTTGCTTTGATATCCTTGATGCGTTTACAGGGAAGGTGCCAAGGTTTCTTGGGGATATATTAATCGGATTTTGGGGCAGCCATCACTGATTCGAGAATCATCCATGGCAAAATTTCCTTGGTCAGGGATAGTTTCTCGTGGAGCAAATCAGTTGCTTAATTCTGGTAAAGCTTCTAACGCAGCGGCTCTTGTAAAGGGTGAATCCAGTTTTGGGAATATTGTTCTACATCCTTCCTTGCAGAGAAGAATAGAGCAACTTGCTCGAGCCACGGCCAACACCAAAACTCACCAGGCACCCTTCCGTAACATGCTTTTTTATGGGCCTCCCGGCACGGGTAAAACTATGGTTGCAAGGGAGATAGCAAGAAAATCGGTAATAGCAGGCTTCTTTTTTTTTTTTTCCCGAAGTTCATTTTTTCCCTCTTACGAATGGTGCTGTTCTATGTCCTTTTAAGTTCACATAATTTACATTCCTATATGATTAATAATGTTAAAGGCAGGAAATCCGNGTCCTTATAAGTTCACATAATTTACATTCCTATATGATTAATAATGTTAAAGGCAGGAAATCCGAAATAAGACTTTGTCAACAATTAGAATGTTGAAGTTGCCATCTAGTAGAATTGTGATTTGGTGGTTTTCTTTCTTTATTTAAGACTAATGAAGAAGCTGGTGCTTTTTTCCCCATATCTTCAATGAATTTATTTAATTATGTTGGAAACTTTTGTGCAATATATTTTCAAAAGCAAGAGGAATAATGAATCGTAGAATAGTAATTCACTTGGTTATTTATGTTTCTTCAATAGGCAACTTTTAAGTAGATTTCTTTCCTAATGCTCTTGTTTAGTTTCTTTTTTTTTTTTTNAAAAGCAAGAGGAATAATGAATCGTAGAGTAGTAATACACTTGGTTATTTTTGTTTCTTCAATAGGCAACTTTTAAGTAGATTTCTTTCCTAATGCTCTTGTTTAGTTNATAGTAATTCACTTGGTTATTTATGTTTCTTCAATAGGCAACTTTTAAGTAGATTTCTTTCCTAATGCTCTTGTTTAGTTTCTTTTTTTTTTTTTTCTCTTCATACTTTCTTTTGTGGAAGTCAATTTTAAAGATCAGAAGAATTACTTGTTTTATGCAAGAGAATGTTTCTTTTGAAGATTTGTTCTATCTCCTCATGGGCTTTGCTTTTGAATATTGGTGTACAGGGTTTGGATTATGCCATGATGACAGGAGGAGATGTTGCGCCATTGGGACCACAGGCTGTTACCAAAATCCATGAGATTTTTGATTGGGCCAAAAAGTCAAAGAAAGGTTTACTGCTTTTTATTGATGAGGCTGATGCTTTCTTATGCGAGTAAGTTTTTATCATCTTTATATGTTCCATTACAGGTTTCTCCAACTGCATATTTTTATTGAATGCCTGGAGCAGGATAGCAGCAAGTTTTGCTTCGTAACAATTTTCTCTAATTACTCATTCAAATTAGCATAAATTTATTGCATTTTAAGTAAGCTTTCCCTTTCAAGGTCCCAAATGTACTTTACTTTTTACGAAAGAAATTGACAATACAACTGCTACTGAGGAATTATTTATACTGTGAAAATTAAAGTTTTGCTCGAACTTTAGGTTAGAAGATTTACTTATATACTTTGGGCATGAAGAAATTGGTTACAGTTTTCTGTAACCCACTGACAACATGCTGGTGTGGACTCGTCTCTCTCTCTCTTTTTTTTTTCTTTTTTTGGGGGTGGGGGTGTTATATGAAGGCTTGAATCAGCTACCAACTGCATGTCAGGAATCAGGATGGTTCTAGTGTTACCAGGCCATCCCTTGTCTTGGTGAAAGACATATCAGCCCTTTGATATTGTTTTCCTCCTGAAACCGTGGGTTTATAACAATGCCTTCCATGATTTTGTTATGCTATCAGAATAACCATGAAAGTGTTTTAACTACTGCTTGCTAATCTGAGAGTCTACTTTTTACTTTTCTCCACAGTTTGCAACTCAGTTGGTTTGCTGTAGCTATTGCTGAGTTATCTCTACATATAACTCAGAATAAATGCTTGTGCTTGTATCTAGGTTGTGGATTTGAGATCTTCCTGTTAGAAAAAGATATCGTAACCTTGGTCTAATGTCGCATTCAATTTAACAACCATGGAATTGATCCAATGCAGGCGTAACAGCACACACATGAGCGAAGCTCAGCGAAGTGCTCTAAATGCTTTGCTTTTCCGTACTGGAGACCAATCAAGAGATGTTGTTCTAGTTATTGCCACAAACAGGCCAGGAGATCTTGACAGTGCTATTACTGACCGTATTGATGAAGTGATTGAGTTCCCAATTCCTCAGGAAGAGGAGCGTTTCAAACTGCTAAAGCTTTATTTAGATAAGTACCTTTTGAACCAGGGTGACACTGACTCGAAGTGGAGCCCTTTCTTTAAGAGGAAACCACAGAAGATAACCCTAAAGGATTTGTCAGATGATGTAATCAGAGAAGCTGCTCAAAAGACAGAAGGTTTTTCTGGCCGCGAGATAGCAAAACTAATGGCAAGTGTTCAAGCGGCTGTTTATGGTCGCCCAGACTGTGTTTTGGATTCGCAGCTGTTCATGGAGGTAGTTGATTACAAGGTTGCAGAGCATCAACAGAGGATAAAATTGGCAGCCGAAGCTGGCCAGCCAGCTTAGGTGGGAAATTGACTTGTAGTGGAGGTTTTACATGCAGGATACAGAAGCGTGCATCTCTTGGATCCCAAAAGCGGAAATTTTGTTTAATTTTCTTCTAACTTGTTCAGTGTTTTTGGAAAAAATTGCATTTATATAAATTTTCTTGATCAACTGGAATTTTTTGAGGGGAATTTATTCAAATCCTTGTCGCAATGTGCTGATAGGAACTCTTTAGTCTTATCTATATTATATATACTGTATATATAAAATAATTAAATTAGACGTGGTAGATGTTTTGAGAAGTCTTTCATCTCATTTTGTTGTTTTTTAAATTTTAAATTATATAATTATTATATATGATTTTGCCCAATTATATTTTAACACATGTCCTTTATATTTTTTTCGGAAGGTAGCGCCAACACATGGCAACTACCCCCTATTCCACTAATTTTAAAAAAATTTAATAACGTAGTTTTTTCATCCTAATTTTTTATGATTATTTTATTATCCTTTTTTTATAATTTTTTATTTAATTTTTTAAATGGTATGAAGACAATAAAAAAAAATTAAGAAGAAGAATAGGGAGGAAAGAGAAATATGTGTAAATTCCATTTATTGCACGAGATCTCTGCTAGTTTTATTATAGAACTCACCGATTCTATACAAATAAAAAAACCTTTGATTCTGCTTGAATTCACCTTGATTGAGTGAATAAAATTAAATAAAAATATATTAATGTGGATAGCACTTTTTAAAATTTTCCATCCTGATCCATCGGCAACGGATTTGGGTTAAAAAGTTTCGTAGACCCCACAAGACTGCCGGCAAGTCCCACTTTTTTGTCAACACACCAATGGTGAGGAGTGAAACTCTCAAAGTTATTAGAAATTCACCCACGAAGGAAACAAAAGAAGCGAACAAACACAGCCTTAAGTTTCAAGTACGTGGCGATTTGGCAGCGAAACTCGTCTCATGAGTTTCCCACAAACCGCCACGTCGCCCCTTCTCGTTGATCGGTCCGTCACACACACACACTAACCGCTACACACCTCTATATCTTACCACTTCAAAAATCAAAACACCATTGTTTCACAATCCGAAAAGCTTCTTTGTTTGTTTGATTGTTTGAATCATTATTTTGGTTTATTTCTACGGTGTGGTGTGAACATTCATACATTGAGTGAGCGATGGCGAAGAGGACGGCGTTATTAGTTCTGTGGCTGGCGGCGGTGTCGGTGGAGGAATGCCGGAGTTGGGGTGAGAACGCTAAGGAGAGAGTGAATCTAGCGGCGGAGAACGCTAAGGAAACGACTGATTCTTGGGCTGATTGGGCTGTCAACAAGTTGCCAACGTAAGCCTTAGATGTGGATTTCAAATTTACACTTGTGATGGACGTACATATGCGTTTCTATGCGTACGTATTATATTTAGGGTGACAATCGAACCGTCTTGGGTGCAATCGAGCCGGGGTTTTTGTGTTACGTTATTTTTTGTTCGTATAGAGTATTAGTGATCTTAATTTGATCTGTTTAATTAAATTATTCGAAATGTCTTACTTAGCCAGTTAATTTAATAGTGGCATTGTGGACCCACGTAATCCAACTACCAAACCCACTCACTCATAGATCTTCTCAAAAATATAGTATTTGATGCACATGTGACATGCCGGCAAAATCATGTAAAAATCACTAATTCATATAACATCAGATTAAGAGTGTTTAAATGAAAATATTTTTTTTTAAATTAAAGTTTATATAGAGAACTAACTAATTAGTCTTAACCTGCTAATTTCATATTTGGGTTTGTGTTGTAGTAATGTGTCGTGTCCAAAACTGCATAACNTGAAAAAATATTTTTTTTAAATTAAAGTTTATATAGAGAACTAACTAATTAGTCTTAACCTTCTAATTTCATATTTGGGTTTGTGTTGTAGTAATGTGTCGTGTCCAAAACTGCATAACCCTGTACTGCAAGGGTGGATTTGGTTGCTTGACATTGTGTAATTATATTGTTTCAAGGCTGCAGTTGCATTGGACATGAGCATCACATTTTATTAAGAGTAATGCTACTTGGACTTAAAATCATGGGTCCCAATATTTATTGAAACTCGTTATCTATTCAATAGTGATGATCGATTAAGNACATCACATTTTATTAAGAGTAATGTTATGGGTCCCAATATTTATTGAAACTCGTTATCTATTCAATAGTGATGATCGATTAAGTCAACAAATCATGTTAACATTCTAAGTCCAAATAACATTTCACTTCTATTAATATGGAAGAGGGGGAGGGGGTTAGTTTGGGTGGCACAAGACTTATATGGTGCAAGGAATTTCACTGACATGCTATGTAGTAGCAGTAAGCCTTATAATTAATCAAACTTAGTCAAAAAGCATATGATTTTTATTTTTCCTATTGATGAGAATCCAGGAAAATGTCCTTCAATGTGATGGGGTTCCACACAGTGCTGTTATATTTCCAAAAACCTGTCTATCTGATGGTGGGATCTTATGTGGATGTTCCATGCTTATGTAATACGTTAGTAATTTTGAACATTTGCTGCTAAGATAATTGGTTTTTCTAACCTTCACTAGTTTATGATTATGTAATACATGTCTTGTATATTCATGCACTTCACTTTCTTCTACTTTTTAATTTGTGCCTGCCTCTGATGTACTGCATCTTCTTGGTGAGGTGGTTTCTTTTATTTCTTTCTTTTTNATTACGCTTATTTTTAAAAGATCCTTCTACTTTTTAATTTGTGCCTCTGATGTACTGCATCTTCTTGGTGAGGTGGTTTCTTTTATTTCTTTCTTTTTCCCTAATTATGTTTCTTACCTTCTGAGTCACTAAACCAATATTGACGGCAACAATAGGACACTTTGAATTGATCTAAGTAAATCTCTTCTTGGGAGCAGTTATATTCATTAATTTATAGAACACTTGAGGTTGTAAGGAGTAAAGTACTAATGTGGTGGATGATACACATAATGTAGACATGCTTAATGAATTAACTAGCAGAAACCCCATGCTACCCATGAATCGTAGTTAGCATAAGTGATGGGGGTGGGGTGGAAAAGGGTGGGAGAGATGTTAAACATGTTATTATAAAATCATCGAATAATTGCTTTGAAATTATTTGAGTTCTTCTTATTTTATTTCGTTAAGGTACAATGGAAATAGAAATGTACCATTTTTTAACTACACATGACACGCACTGCATACGAAACATCTTTGCCTAGGAAACTATTGTCAAAAACAGCACAGTAGACCTTGTACCAGGTACAGTTTATTTATTTGTCTACCTGTTCTTTTCAATGTACTTATTTTAAGTGGTTGATTCCAATGTATGTACTACTCTTTAAGATGTTGAGATCGTCGAAAAAAGTGGTTCATTTTTATTTTATGGCTTCCTAGTTCCTGGTCGTGTCAATCATTAGGAGTATTTTGACCTTCTTATCATATATGAATAATATTCATGATGTTGTAACGTGCGGTTATTTATTTTTTTTAGAAAATATTTATCGATTAGGTCAAGATCTCTTTTTTATGTCAATGAACATCTGCAATGCATACCATGATGGTATTCCATGTATTACAATAGAAGCATTGGTGAACGACTGCAAACCTGGCTATCAGGTTACCAAACTCCCCACTGAGGTCATGTTTTAAATGCCAAGCCGCCTGGCTAGCAGTTATAGTCTTTATTACTTTTGAAGNGGTCAAGATCTCTTTTTTATGTCAATGAACATCTGCAATGCATACCATGATTGTATTCCATGTATTACAATAGAAGCATTGGTGAACGACTGCAAACCTGGCTATCAGGTTACCAAACTCCCCACTGAGGGCATGTTTTAAATGCCAAGCCGCCTGGCTAGCAGTTATAGTCTTTATTACTTTTGAAGAATTTCAATATCAATAGGTAGTTAAGAATAAAATCCCCGTAAATTTGTATTTTATTGGTAGATTCAGCTTCTTTGTGTTTAATGTGCAAATGTTTTCCAGAAGGGAGAAAAAAAATTACCAGATAATGTTGAATTTATCAACTAAACTTGGAGAAGCTTCTCCTCTCACATAAAGCCTCTGTCGAGTTATTAACCGAATCACAAAGGAAGGAGGGGCTGGACTTCTATACAGCAAAATTAAGGTGCCTGAACNGTGTTTAATGTGCAAATGTTTTCCAGTAGGGAGAAAAAATATTACCAGATAATGTTGAATTTATCAACTAAACTTGGAGAAGCTTCTCCTCTCACATAAAGCCTCTGTCGAGTTATTAACTGAATCACAAAGGAAGGAGGGGCTGGACTTCTATACAGCAAAATTAAGGTGCCTGAACTGGGATACCAATGTGGACAACCTAAACCAATAGTAAACTTGCTTTCACTTTATTCACATGATTAACTGCAGTTTGTCAAACTCTTCTNACTGGGATACCAATGTGGACAACCTAAACCAATAGTAAACTTGCTTTCACTTTATTCACATGATTAACTGCAGTTTGTCAAACTCTTCTAAATTAATTTATTAGGTCTATCGACTTAATTGTGCTCATGTTGGGTATGCAAAAAAACCCTCAGTAGGTTTCTTGCTAGTTTTAGAATATCTGGACATCCATTTGTTCTGTATATTTAACATTTTTGGTCCATAGTTGGCTGTGGTTATTTAATAATGCACCGAGGTGCTTTCAGTGGATTTGGATTCAATCAGGAGAGTGCAAAGGAGGCAGCTCAAAGCGTGAGAGATAGAGCTGGGGATGCTGCATCGAAGGCCACAGAGACTATGAATTCGGCAGCATCAGGTGATTATTTTCCTCTTATATTCTTTTATGATGTTAAAATCAAGCAAAGAGTAAACAATGCCCTTTTCCCCCTCGCAGAAGCGTCGAGGTGTGCTTCACAAAAGGCTGGTGAGGCAGCAAACTTGGCCTCTGAAAAAATGGGCACAGCAAGGAACTTTGCTTCTGAGAATGCAGATAAATCCATGAATGTGGCTTCAGATATGGCCGGTGATGCCCAAGAAAGAGGAAAAGATAAAGCATCTGATGCCTATGCCTTTGCCTCTGAGAAGGCGGGTGAAGCCATGAACATGGCTTCGGATATGGCCAGCGCTGCCAAAGAGAGAGTAAAAGATAAAGCGTCTGATGCCTATGGCTTTGCCTCCGAGAAGGCAGGTGGAGCCATGAACATGGCTTCAGATATGGCCAGTGATGCCAAAGAGAAAGGGAATAATAGAGCTTATGATGCAAATGCTTATGCCTCTGATAAGGCAGGAGAAGCCATCAATCAGGCTTCTGATATGGCTGGTGATGCCAAAGACAGTGGGAAAGATAAAGCATATGATGCCTATTCTTTTGCCTCTGATAAGGCAGATCGAGCCATGAATCTGGCATCTGATATGGCCAGTGCCGCCAAAGATACAATCAAAGACAAGGCGTCTGATGCCTATGCCTTTGCCTCAGATAAGGCAGATCAAACTATAAAAATGGCTACAGATAAGGCCAGTGATGCCAAGGAGACGGTGGAAGGAGCAGCATCGCATGGGAAAGATAAAGCATTTGATGCCTATGATGAAGCTAACTTGAAGGTTAGCGAAACATATAGGTCAGCTGAGGAAAGAATGACCAATCAGGCCAAGGAAAACTATGAGGCTGCTAAAGAGAGGGTTTCACAAGCTGCAGGCAATCTGGGAGCAAGGATAAGAAAAGAGACAGCAGAGCTATGAAGCAGTTAACTGCACGAAAGTGGAACTACCAGTTTCTTGAAGCCTTCTGTGAGTCAGCTACTGTGATTTTGTTTCCCTTAGTTCTTATAAGATCTTTCCTACCGTATATTTTTAGATTTCATAATTTCTTTTGTGAAAGCTTATTTTGGTTTGTCATTTCCCTTCTTAAAAAACAGTAATAAGTATGTCCTGGAGCAGCCTCCAGATCTGCTCTGTGTATGTTTGCCCTCAAGGATCTCGTCATTTCCAGAAGGCTGTTATCTTTCTATAAGGTGTTATTGCAAAAATTTATGCCACTGAATAACATTACCTTCCTGTTGTCACATTCTCATTGCTGAATTGGCGTGTACGTTAAAACTTATAGTGTTTCTTTTGTTATGTGCCTTATTTACTGTCATTACTCAACGATTGGCTACTACAGTTGGGATTCAAGGGCATCATCTTTCTGGTTGATTAAAACTGACTCTGAAGTGCACTTTGGGTCTCATAGTATTGTGCATAATGCTATGTTCGATTTGAAGAGATGGTGTTTGCTGCCGTTAGGTTTTTTTTGAATTTCTCATGATTGGATGGGAAATTGCTTGTTCTTATGTCTGTTAATCACGCTATTCTTGATCAGATTTCGTAGTGTGAGAATCAAAGGAGACGCAATGGTTCTGGATTGTGATTTTACTACACGAGATGTATATACTAGAATCCTTGGAAAAAAATAAAACTGCTATCATGGAGTGGTTGATAGCTTTTAGTTCTTACTCACTGGTTGATTTCGTGGCTGCTCAATTTTTTTCTAGTAAAATAGACAAATAGAGAGATTGACATAATTGTATGTAATTTGTACCAAATTTACAAAACATCCATGGACCACACTTGTATCATACACCAGCTTGAAAATGATGAAGTTCATTTTCTTCTTTATTTGCATAAGTTCTAATGATTATCCATTTCTGGTCCTTGATTCTCCTCAGTATCTGCCTGTCATTGCTTTGTTATATCAGGTTATGCATTGCATATATACTGCACGCAAAAAGGATTGAATTTTACTTGCATTTATCTACTGAAGAAAATTTTAATTTGAAGTAGGGGAGATAGTTCAAGATGATGTGTGTATAATGCTTAANTTTATCTACTGAAGAAAATTTTAATTTGAAGTAGGGGAGATAGTTCAAGATGATGATGTGTGTATAATGCTTAATTCTAGAAACACAGGTGTTAAATCTACACATGTAATCCTTAATATGTTACTTTGAACTCTCTCAAAATATCAGAAAAGAAAAACAAGCTCTGTAAAGGGGATATATATGAAGAATATTCGGTGGCCATCTGATTGTAGCTTTTTGCCTACATGTAAAATTGACTAGACCAGTGAGTAATTTCCTGGGTCTGCGCTGGAGCTTTAGAGATGGGATTAGTATACTGGGAGTGTGGAATTTTTTAAGATACTTGACCTGAACTCTCGTATAGGTGGAACTTGTTTTGTTCAATTCTTAGGGAGAAGAAGAAAAAATATCTACTGGGAATGGTAGGGCTCCCTCCATGGCAAACACACTATAACCTTTTAGGAGAGTCGCCTACTTGACAAGAAGTCTGCTCATCTATTTAATGAGTCGATTACTGTCAGGCTTATATTTCGATATACGACGATGCATAATTCAATCTATGTTCCTTCTTGGTAGTGTACAAAAAATTAATTTAACGGTATAGTTCATCTAGATATGTACATCCCATTGGAGGAAAAAAGGCTTCTCTCTCTCCATAATTAGTAGGGACCCTAATTTGTAGTAGGTTTTATGAGTTTTAACAAGAGGTACATACCATATCAAAATCCGAAAAATTGAAACAATTAAAATCTTAAATTGAAATTACTCCAAAACATCAAAAAGGAAAAACTGGTCAAGCTTAGAAAAAAAAATAGAAACGGAAGAGATTCGAAACTTGAAATACCACTACTTTTGGAAAAATCAAAGCTCTGAAGGACAAGATCAGATGGTTGGTTCCTCTAATTAGATAGAGAGAGAGAGAGAGNAAAAAGGAACTGGTCAAGCTTAGAAAAAAAATAGAAACGGAAGAGATTCGAAACTTGAAATACCACTACTTTTGGAAAAATCAAAGCTCTGAAGGACAAGATCAGATGGTTGGTTCCTCTAATTAGATAGAGAGAGAGAGAGAGAGAGATTGACATAGTAATGGCAGTAGATTAAGACCCAATGTGTTTCAGAAAAAGAGTAATCACAGCTTGATAGTGTTGATGCACCAAGAGAAAGAGCACAAGTAATATCTNGAGAGATTGACATAGTAATGGCAGTAGATTAAGACCCAATGTGTGTCAGAAAAGGAGTAATCACAGCTTGATAGTGTTGATGCACCAAGAGAAAGAGCACAAGTAATATCTCCAGTAGATACCATGATTGCAAGATTATAAGTCAGAGATTTCACAAACATGACTCCTAAATTTGGAGATGTATTGGCTGTTTTTAGTAGGCTGTGCCCTCTCTATCTCATCTTTATTCACAGCTAAAATCTAGTGATGCAACTCCAAAAATAAAATACCTTAAAAGGGTTGGCACTTTCTCTTACAATTGTTTCTTCTTCATGGCTTGTTTATTGTTGTGCATCCAAACCTTGAACACTTGCCTCTTTACACCCACTTCATTACAGAAATTTTGGACTTCTTGTTCATCTTGCTTCTGCATCTTCCATCCCAATTTCTCTGCAAACTCGTGCATCCGATCCTTCTGTTCCGAAGTAAATTTTGTCCGAAACCTTTTCTTAGATATCGAAAAAGATGGTTGCACCACCGGTGGAGCTCCGGCATTGGACTGATACATGTTAAGATCTTCGCTTGAGGATTCCGCCGGAGCTCCACCACCCCCACCAAAGGCCATCATCATCGGACCTGTCGACGGAGTAGTGATCAAACCATGGTGAGGATGCTGATTGGGAGGCAGTGCAGGATGCGAAGGTGGAGGTTGAATTGGATGGATTGTAATTCTTTGCCTATGACTGTTGTTTCTGCTTGGGTTGTGTGTGTAGTAACAAGTAGTCCTTGATGGAGACTCGCCATCGATCTCTCTCCGGTGGAAGTTCCGATGGCAATCACAAGCTGCACATCGTAGGGCTCCTGGGGCTCCTTCCTCTCCGCTTGGCATAAACTCTCCGCATCCATCGACTATGTGCCCACCCATGGTCGCCGCATGATTCTTGAGACATTCTCGGTATCGAATCGGGTTGAGGCTATTGGTTGATGAAGCTGTTGCTGGTTGTGGTGGTGGTGGTGGTGGTTGTTGTTGTGGCCGTTGTGGTGTCTTGCAGTTTGATGGGCTAGCAATTGTTGCATTTGCCAGCTGAGCTGGATCTGGATCTGGATCTGGGTTTGAATCTCTTCCTTGTCTCTGCGGCGATGGTGGCCGTGGCGGTGGTGGTGGTGGTTGATTCAACAGATGATGCTGATGTTGATGAAGATGACCGTGATCTAGGGTTTGGGTAAGGCTGAGGATTGCACTTCCACAGACGGTTTCGTTTTCTTTTCTATCAGCTAGAGTGGAGATGATTGGTGCAGAAGACAGCATAGAAGAAGATGAATCTTGATTGTGTTGAAGTGGATTGCAACCCTTTGANGTTTGGGTAAGGCTGGGGATTGCACTTCCACAGACGGTTTCGTTTTCTTTTCTATCAGCTAGAGTGGAGATGATAGGTGCAGAAGACAGCATAGAAGAAGATGAATCTTGATTGTGTTGAAGTGGATTGCAACCCTTTGAGCTTGGCATGCCTATGTTCTTGTCTTGGCCTCTTAGTTCCATTAATTCTGACTGTGACCCTTGATCTCAAAACCACCTTTCTTCTCTTAATCACTCTTTCCTAAACCACCATCATCATCACAATCTTCAAGGTCTCTTTCTCTCTAGTAATGAAATATCCTCTCTAATTTTTCTCAAAAATTTATCTTAAATCCAAGAACAAACTTGATCAAAGAAACAATCAGCTACATAATGTTTAAGGTCCCGTCCTTTTCTTTTCTTCTGATTGACGTTTTGGGTGCTAAACCCACCAACCCATTTCACTAATTTCCAATCCTGTTGACAATGCATAATCAACTGATTGAGCATTAGACTCGGAAATGATTTAAATGGCTTAAATCATTAGTAGAAGATTAACTTCACTTAAACCTAAGGAAAAAAAAGGATAGGACAAGAGAATCTTGAAACTCAAGCAGGAGATAAGACATGTAGGGGGCCCTTGAGCAGCTAACTAAAACTTGCAGAGGTGGATGAGAATCAAGGAAGAAGAGGGATGAGAGAGAGATAGAGGTTTAAAAGTGGGAAGTGAGTGGATCGTGTTTCCTACCAGCAGTCCAAACCCAATAAAACCCAACCATGAGAGGAAGCAGATGGGTTGGGTTCTGTGCGTACCGAAAAGGGAGTAAGCGAGTGAGTGATGACCTGCTAGAAGACAGTGATGACACGAGACTAGAGAGACTTACTCTGCAAAACAACCGACAGGGTCATGTTCATCCTCTCCTACGGCCTGCACACGGGTCCAGTCGCTCTTTATTGCCTCGTCTTGGTATTATCTCCACCCTGGTGTTAATCCTGAAACCCTAAACCCAGAGAGAGAGAGAGAGAAGGATGGTAAAAGGTGTCGTGGAATCTATGCGCAGTCTGAAAGTCATTTGCTAAACTGGGTTTATGATTGAAGTGTCGAACATAGATCACAAATAAAAATGTTTATGGACTTGTTTAGACAATATATATATAGAGAGAGAGAGAGAGAGAGAATCTGACACACGCATTATCAGGTTCAGGGCCAAAGTGCTGTGCTATGGACCATCTTTTTTTCACTTTAATTCCACCATCAACATACCCCAAAACAAAAAAGTCCCCCCCCCCCTCTCTCTCTCTCTCTCTCTCTCTCTCTCTCTCTCTCGGCTAATAAGACTTTTGGTGCGACTAGTGAAATGCCTGCAACTCCCACTCTCTCCCTCAGAAATGACTTCAACTTGTACGAGTCTTTGGTGTAATTGATGTTATTGCCTTCCACTGTTGGCAGATTGGAATCTCTCTGTCTGTCTGTCTTCAATTGGTGATTAGCTTCCACTGTTCGCATAGTGCCATTTATCTGTCTGCCTCCGATTGTTACTGGAAAAACGTTATGTATATCAAAAATTTTATTAAAAAATATTTTTATCAAATAAATTAACAATTTTATATCCTAAACTTATCAAATGTTGATCAAAATGTTTTTAATTAGATATTGACTGTGCTTTCGTAATCACAAGCTTTGACTGCTTTGTTCTACATTTTTTACGTTAGCCCAGTAAAAAGCAACCATTAAAAATTTTTTAGTACTTGCCCACGACTCGACTCAATAAAATTTTAATTTTTTTTTGTTAATTTGTAAGGTTTTTTTTTCTTTTTTAATTTTGTTCAAAGTTATCATTCAAATTATAAAGTAAAAATTATGCATCATACCCGATACACAAGGTTTTTTTTATTGCAGAGTTTGAGAAATGTTAAAATGTATGAAATTTTATCCCCTACAAGTAAAGAGGTGGTTTTTGTGCTCGTTGATTTTCACACAATAGAAAAATCGTGAACAGATCTCTCCTGTAGTGAACTCAGATTCGTCGTAGTGATAGATCCGACAACAAAAAATGAGTTGAGAGGACTAAAGGAGACCTAAGAAGTGGTGATGAATTGTTCCAATAGGCTCCAAACCGATTCTAATGGGTTACAAGATGGTCCTGGCACACAAGAAAACAAGTTAGAAGAGCGCCGGAATGTTTTCGGTGTATCCCCTCCGATAATTAAGTCAGTTCTTTGAGAGAGTGAAAGAATAAAACATTGTTACGGCTTTTAAGAGGTGATTTTGTGTGCCTTTACAATGTATTTTTTAGGGGTATTTATACCTTCAAAGATTAATCATTGCTGAAAGCCTAATCAGTAGATAGTGTCAAGAAACGGGGCAATGTGCCCCTTATTTTGCATAGGAAATGTCTCAATATTGATTGCTCAAGTTTGCAAGTAGTTAATACTCTTTCTTCGATATAAAGACATTAAATGTTGGGACCCAAGACATTTAATACCCCCTATTCTCAGTTTTTCAAGCTACTGTGGACGTCACATCATTTTGGGGATTCATTAAATGCTTGATTGGAGTAGTTGCATATCAGCAAGAGTAAATTTGTCTTTCTACCCTTCATCCTGCACTTTATGTCACGCGTTCGATTCTCTCTTGTTGAGTGTCTGGTTCACCTTGTCATTCTGACTCCATCGTTCAGAATGCCCTCCTGACTTCTAGTTTAGTTTAAGTTATTCAGTTGTCAATCACTAATCTCTTTGGGAGCCGAGGACATACGAAGGGATTAGTATGATTACCATGGGGACTGAGGATATTAGATTTTCCCCCAGAGTGTGAGCTACCTCGGGGCCGAGGGAACATGCCTCTGAGCCAGGGAACATATCAATCGGAGCAAGGAGGGTCTTGGGGCCGAGAATACGTGGCCTCGCCAGAGAAGAGTGATTACCTCGACACCGAGGACACATATTCTTGAAAATGTCCTATCAATTTTCACGATTTGAATCGTGATCTTTCGATTCACAATTCAGTCATTTGACCTTTCCTCCAAAAGTCAGTCTTAAAAATTATATATATGGTGACTAAATAAAAAAGAAATTACATCTTTTAAACACATTATCAGAAGAGGTATACGTATATATATCATAATTGTAATTTTATTAGTCTAGTTGTTGGAAAGATAACACAAATAACTAGTCTTGCTCTTGCCTGACTTCGTTATGGATTGAAAATATCATTTGTTATCTGAATTATAATGATGATAATCCATTTATAATGTTCAGCTTTTTGTCTTCTATCCAGACACAACGGTTTCTTTCTTTGACTAATCAGATAAACCAGATGCTCCTAATGGTTTAGGATATTCTATTTTAATCATCTTCCTTTTTTTGGTAAATATTATAAATCATTTTACAAATCAAAGCAAAGTATCAAGTGGTTGTTGCATTGCAATGCTAGAAAATTGTGTAGTTACTTTTATCTTTTTCAATAGATTTTTAGGGAACAATTTCCGAGTAATTAATAATAATAATTGAACCAACTACCCATAATTAAATTAATAAAATAAGACGTAATTATTGCAGAAATAGGTCTCCTCTCTCAAAAAGTTACTTTTATTTTTTTAGTAGATTTTTAATTTATATGCACAACGTGTTGGTGATCGAAGGAACAATTACAAGTAATTAATAATAATAGAACCAAAGATCCACGATTAAACTAATAAAATAAGACATGATTAATGCAGATGTAGCTCTTTTTATCTCTCTCCCTCTTTCTCCAAAATTTTCATATCAAATAGTTATTATAAGCCTCATAAATAAATATTAATAAAATTCATTTATCTCATGTCGTACAGTACTATATTTTGGTATTAAAAATTTTGTGATATAGAAATATATAAATATTAAAGAAATTAAAGTAATTATTTCAAGAATTTTAGTTAAAATTTAGCTATAATTTGTTAAATTAAATTATTCAAGTTGGATCAAAATTTAGATTATAAAATATTCGAATATGAACCATAAAAACAAAATTCGTCAAATAATCGGATCAAATTAGAATCATTCAAAATTAAATCCAAATCCAATCCGTTGAAATGCCCGAGAGCACTATCCTTTTTGCTCATTTTTCAAATTAAATTTTTTTAGTAAAATAATGTCTAGTTGAATTAGTAAATCTAATTAACTCTTATTAAATATTCATGTAAACAAGAATTTGGTGATGCACTCTGATCATGAAATGATTAATAATTTTTTTTT